TGTTGTTGCTGGGGTCGACGTGAATTAAGTAACCATACCCTTCTAAGGCTCCTTATGGTATCCTATCAGCTGTTATCGCTCCCTGCGGCCCACCAATAAAGTTCCCATCGTGCACCCTATCCTATTAATTGGAACCAACGTCCGGTCGTTGCTCTGGCCGTTGTTATGGATTAGGTGACCCACTCCTTCTAAGGCTCCTTATGGTATCGTATCAGCTGTTATCACTTCCTGCCACCCACCAAAAATGTCCCCATCCTGTTCTCTATCTTACTTCTTGGAACCAACGTTCCACCGCTGCTGTGACGCGCGTTGTGAATTTGGTGACCCTTATCTTCTGAGGTTCCTCATGGTATCTTATCAGTTGTTATCACTTTCTGCCACCACCAATAATGTCCCACCCTGCCCCTATCTTACTACTTGGATCCAACGTCCCGTCGTTGCTCTGGCCGGTGTTATGAATTAGGTGACCCACTCCTTCTAAGGCTCCTTATGGTATCTTATCAGCTGTTATCACTTCCTGCCACCCACCAATAATGTTCCCATCCTGCCCCTATCTTACTGCTTGGATCCAACGTCCCATCGTTGCTCTGGCCGGTGTTATGAATTAGGTGACCCACTCCTTCTAAGGCTCCTTATGGTATCTTATCAGCTCTTATCACTTCCTGCCACCTACCAATAGTGTTCCTGCCCGACCCCCTACATCACTTATCAGTTTGAGCGCACTCGCTCTTTTGAAGGAAGTTATGAATTTCCGGTCAAACACACCTACACACACATACACACACCAACAGACAAACTTAGCGGGCTATATATAGTACGATTCCGTGAAAGGATAAAAATGGCAGGAGGTGGTGTAGTGACAAGCGGTGAACTTACCACTGCGCGGCCCTGAGTTCATATCCCTGGCCAGCCCAGCCTTCTATCCTACGGGGACGGTAAATTGGTACCAGATTCGTCTGGGAGGAACACTGACTTGTACATCGGCTGGCCCCGCAAGTCATTGTATAGGCCACATCGCATTCAATAAGCCACTACGATTCTGAATGGAAGTAGAATGCGTGCCGCATCCCACAAAGGGATTGATCAACGGCGAAGACTTTTTCCTTTATACTTCTATTCCGTGGATGACTGACCTTATCGTATGTCTTCATGAGACAAAGAGCTGAATATCTGTTGATTGCTATAAGCGTATTCCCAATCATGTGGGAGAGGAAAGTTGCTCCATTGAGAATTATAGCAGCTGTGACGAACGAGTGTGAAGCTGGACTTAGACTTAGTTCTCTATTCAGTCGAGTGAAACAGCTTATGAGAATGGAGCATACATCAGTAATTCCTGAACATAATCTATAGCTACTTGATGTTCTTAGATACAGCATGATGAGAGTGTTTTCTTTCTACAGGGACATGCGCATCGAACACAGTCGGCTTCCCTTTTCTCTCGGAATGACCTGCAGCATCTGCCGTCAATATATCGAGGAAGCAACTGTGTAAGAGAACGAAGCTCCAACGGCTACAGTACTTGCGGTACCTGATGACTAATTATGACTAAGACTGATTATGTGCGGGTTAGCGCGTGATGCACACAGCGGTGGGGAGCCAAACCGGCAAAATGTAGACTTTTTAGTAAGAATTCTTCAAAGATATTGCTGACAATGAGGATGTCATCTTCGGGGATGTTTATGACAAGTGAGTGTTTCTGGGAGCACCTTCAGTGTATGGTAGTGGATAAACAAACAACATTAGATAGCGATCCCAGATTTAGCTGCTAAGGAATTCGGAAATTTTTGGCGAATTACTGTACAACAACAACATTTGAATTTATATAGTAATATAGAGCAACTAAGTAAAAAAACAGAACTAAGCAAAAATAAAAAGTACACGTTTATGGAGCAAATCACATGTGAAAAGTCAGAGTTGGAAGCAAGCAGCATAAATGCCTCACCACAACAAGAAAACGTAAATTCACAACAACATAAATGCATTACCTGTTGCCACGAATATAACGTAAAAAGCAGTTCTAAAGACCTTCACTTCGGAAGTAATGATAATGAAAAGAACGAAAACGTAGGCGAACACCAGAGCACCCTCAATCACAGTTTGTGGCACATTATGTGTCATATCTCCTGCGTGCAAAACAAATTTAGTCGACTGAGAAGTCGGAGCGGTTCAAACTAAGGTATGCCAAGCTCTGATTATGTACCTGTGTCAGCTGCATAGTCGCGGATCACCACCCCTGACTTCGCTGAAATCTGTGACGCACTCATTGGATTAATGTATAATATACATTGAAGAGCCCTTTTTGAATGTGCAAACTAAACTATTTTAATCATAAAATAAACAACATGCGATTCATAAACAACATGGGCGTAACATAACTGTGAATGCAGGTATGCTGTACACAATAAAGTACTAAGCAGTCAAAATCGAGAAAGAAAGGTACTACAAGCTGCTGAGAAATGCTTAGAGCAGATCAAAGGCGTTATCAGTACCGATCGCCCTTGATTTTTAGAACAATTGTATGAAATGAGCTGACTATCTGGCACCAAAACAAATAATGACACCTTTGAAAAATGCACTATGCTACTGCAGCAACAGCTCATGAGGAAATGTTGATGAAGGGGAATGAATTTACAATGAAGAAGCTAGGAATTATACGAGCTATAATTGTCGCTAAATACTCGCACTTCTTATTAAGTGTAGACTATCAGTTAGGCAGTGTGCGAGGATTGGTTAACGTGCATACCGAGTGGACTTTTCAAGCTGTACTCTCTATACCATTTGATAGCATACCACTCCAGCTGAGGCTCGATCACGACCGGGCTTTCCTTACGATTAGACATACAAATTCGCAAGAGTGAGAGAGATACGATTAGTTCTAGTTCCAAGATTCCTTAACAGTTCTTTGAAAATCTGTCTAGATCACTCTGCTGCGATCACCAGAACTAGTAGTGTTGTCTATGCGAAGCGTGTAAAATAAAAATGTTCACCACAGTTTATCGGTTGAGCTATTCAGATGTCCAGAAAGGTTAATGAGATCCACCAGTATTGTCACGTCTTACTAAATGGATCATGACTGTATCAAAGTGCGGCTAAAGCCACAAGCTACAATACATTTACTCTGTGCTAGATCCCCATGCTATCTCTCATAGTACGGTACGAAATAGTCCAACTACTATCATTTGTATGACTTCTACCTGATACTCACTTCGTTCAAAGAAGCTACCAGTAGCAATTCATAGGTATCAACCCGTTCTCTAGTCATTATCCGGTTTAAGAGGAAAGTCATTGGTTAGGGAAAGGCTAAAGAACTGGAAAGGCTTATCTCAAAGCTTAGCGTGTGTGGATACTGTTGACAACCTACTCCCCCGCTTACCGCCGCATGTACAGCAGCTGGCCAGTTACGTATGAAGAATGAATTTTTACCGAAGAATTCCAGGTAAGTGTCGACCCAAGCAGCAAACCGTGCGGGAACTGGAGAGAAAACATGACATCTGAACAATGAAAGCTTTTCATGCAAGTTTTTGATTCTTTACAAAATTAGCACAGATTCAAGCGATGTTGTGATGCAAAACATTCATGAGCAATACATAGCATACGCTGCAAAATACTTGAGAGTGAGGAGAGTTATTTACTTTCGATAGTTGGAAAACACCGTTGCTATTAAATTTTGTGAGATTAATTTCCTCTAAATGAACAGATACTCGATTGCCTCATAATTTTTTGCAAAGTTGCATCATGCGTATTTAAAGAGATAAACTGGATCAACCTGATCCCATCGCTCTACGTAGTGGGACTTTACATCGAGAGATCGTTTAACTTGCGCCTACTCATAATCGCCAGCTGTGTGGCTTTCTACGGGGAGAACTGTTTGTCTCTCTCATTTTTTCTCTCTCTCTAGAGAGAAACAACTGCAGCAAGCAAAGTTAATAACACTCCATTTACTGAATAATAAAGTTTGGTCGTCTACTGGATTGAGGGGCTGTTTGTGTGCTGTGTTACTCACTTTACTCCTGAAGGCATTTACAGGACCACCGTGAGAAGTAAGGTTCTCAGAAAAAAGTGTAGGTAGGTGAGATGTGGCCTGCTCGCGGGGGAAAAAAGGACTATTGAGAAGCTTATGAATGAGCGCTACTAAACTGCTCTACCCTGAAATCTCGAACAACTTTTTTGCTGCAGTTTTGCCTATAAGTTTATTTCATCGCGCAAAGCGCACTAATTTGTTCCTTCCGCCTTTCTCAATGAAATAGACTAAAGAGTGCATATGGGGGTGGGGGTCATTTCACAACACACAGGACGTTGGCGGAAAAGATGGTGGTTCCGAGTTGGCGAATGATGACGAAATGGCCCCAGTGTCAGAAAACGAATGTCATGCTCGTGATCCGAGCACCTACTCATCCTTATAGGCGAGCCTTCAGCGAAGAAATTTTTTTGAGTTTGGGTGACACGGGGTGGCAATTGTCAAGTGGTGCCAGGCCTCGTTCCTTGCAGTTAGTGCTGTGCGTTGAACAAGCACAAGAAGGAGGGAACTTACGAACTCGGAAAGAACCCGCATAACGGAATTATTAAGGCAGAGGGGCGAAGAAGGCGAGAAACACGGATGTTATCGCAACTGTGTTCGAATCATTGTTGTTCCACGCCAAAGAATTTTCGGCTGCACCTATTCTTGCACTTTTTTTGCATAGTCTGCGCTTTTACTTAGTATATTCGTTGATATATTTTGTTTATTCATCTGGGTAGTCAAATTTTTATCATTTTCAAACCCTTTTGTACAACAGTAGCATCTGTCTGCTCCATCAAACTTAACTGAAGGAACGGTGCTCTTGACAAGATCACTGGTAATCTAAACGCATGGAAGTAACTACTGACAAAACTATCAACATTTTCAGGAACAGAGATTAGCTGCTTATGAAAATAATCTCAATTCAAAGACGTGAACGCTGAAAGGCTTCCTTCCGCTCGAATTATTCGCGGTGATTGTGGCTAATTGTAAGGTGCGTATCATGTACTGAAGCGTTCCAGGGGAGGGATGAGGGACGGGTTTGGTCAGCCTATTCTCCTGCAACTGCGGAGGCAGCAGGCAACACCAATTGGTAGAGAACACGTAGGTGCCGAGCCAAACCCAGTCCCTTCGAAACGACCAACGTCCTCAGCGAACAATACTGTAGGGTAAATGGAGTCACTTGATGCGTATGAACACTACTTCACGCTCCACCGTGGAAGTGGAATAAGTCCCGATTAACTTAGGTTTGTCCCGTTGCCCATGTGATGTAGTCATCTGTTCATCTGTTCATACCATTTCATTTGAAAGTAAGACTTTCCGAACAAATTCACTTCAAATTCGAATTATCAAATCAAATTCACGACGTTTCAATCCAAATTCACGACGTTCCAGATCACTTCACGGCTTTCAAACCAAATTCGAGACTTGGTTGAACACGCACAGTAGGGCAGGTGCAGGTCCCGCTACCACAGCAACGCCCACATTCCAGCGTAGGCATGATTTTTGAAATTTTATTTTATGGCTTCTGCTTCTGTGACTTTCTCTGTACTTTTGTTATAACGCCCACATATACTGATTGGAATGAGTGGCGTCGACACATGAGCAGCAACTGCGCCCAATTTCTTGAAATGTGTTGCGAATTTCGAATTTTCACATTTTTTCAAACCTCGTGAACTCCACATTTAGTCCTTACATCGCGGAGGTACAATTCTCATCATTACGGACTGTCGGGGCGTGTCAGCGCTGCGTTTGGCGGTACCGAAGTTGTTCTGCACCAGTTGTTGAAGCGGGCAAGTGACATTACTGTATTATATCCTTCGTATTACTCGTTTTCTACCACTTTTTGTCGCATACGCGTTTCAACAAAAAGGCTGAGAACGGCTTCAACAGTGTGCGCACTCCTACTGGCTGACACGCCCCGTGTCCGTAATGATGAGGACAGTACTATAGACGTGCGTTTTTGCACTCACGCGTTGAGCTTCCCTTTGACCACGCCCACTTCTGCGTGTTCTGGCACAGTTTCGATAAAAGGATAAAAAGACAGTCGCCGTTGATCAATCCCTTTGTGGGATGCGGCACGCATTCTACTTCCATTCAGAATCGTAGTGGCTTATTGAATGCGATGTGGCCTATACAATGACTTGCGGTGGCCAGCCGATGTACAAGTCAGTGTTTTATCCTCCCAGACGAATCTGGTACCAATTCCCCGGAGGGTAGAAGGCTTGGTTGGCCTGGGCGGGAGTCGACCCGGGATTCGAACCCGGGACCGCGCGAGTGGTGAGCGCCCCACTTGTCACTACACCACCTCTGCCCAAAGTCTCAGCACTTTCTCAAAACTTCCACATCTACCATGAGAAGCTGCTCCCTTTTAATAGAATCCCCGTCACTCTTGAAAAATGCCTGTAATCAGCAGATTAGGGCTTGCCCTTGTAGGTAAGGGGTCTCTGGTCACTCGGAAAGAAAGACAAACAGAAAACGGGCAAGTTTCATTCATTGCTTTTTTTGCTTCGAGCGTTCGGCGACCCTCTTACCTACACGTAAAGCTTTAGCCTGCTAATGGAGGCACTTTTAAAGATGTGCGAGGTTTCTACGAAGTGGGCGAATTTTCTCATAGTGCGTGAGGCGTCCTGTAGAAGTCCGAAAAGTGTGGAGATTCGAATTGGGTATGTGGCAAGAGAATCGTATTCGCCGCGCCAGTGGGCGTCGCGTGCGACGTCGCGCCGCTAATGACGACGATTTTAGGTGGTATTGGTCGAGAATAGGCAATGTATGACCAAAAATAGACATAAATGTCTACCATGTCCTTGTCTACATGAAATCCGATGCTCCAATCGAAAGGTAGTGCAAATTAAGGAAACGTCGCGCCTATTGCCGCGCGCGACGAAGCGGCAATTTACGGTTCTTTTGCCCGTCTCTCCCGAGGAAATATCAAAGTTTTGCAAAAACATGCAAATGTATGGCGTAGTCAGAGGTGAAGAGCTCAATGCGCGAATGCAGAAATGCACGCCTTTGGGTACCTTCGTTGTGTGCAGAGTGGATGTGAAGTTAGCGAGATTGAGAAGGTATGAAAATTCGAAATTGCAACTAAATTATGAAAAATTGTTTGCTGTTGCTGCCC